GGGGGGGGGGGGGGAAGGGAGGGAAGGGGGTGGAGTCATACCTCAGCCTCAAGAATCAAGACTTGAGTTCCTCAAAGGTGGAGTCACTTACCCAGTAGCTCTCCAGCAGGCTGGAAGACAACAAAGTTGTGACAAAGCAAAATTGGAGCAAGATACTTGTTTCTATGCAGGCTTATTCAACTCTACATAATGGCAGTTTCGATGGTTTTACATTAGAATTTCCAATGGGTCTAAAGGACTTGGTTCCTAAGTCCCATTGGAAATTGACTGGGTTTTGGGCCCTTCTACTCCAACATACGACTTGGAAGATCTCAGCCTTTTATTTTTTTATATGCAGCCTAGTAAATTATCTTTGATTGTTCCCCACACATACACACAGTGTGAGGTAATCTAAAGAATGTACAACGAGCAAAGTTCAGACCCAAGGCAAAGGGCCTGCTTTTCTCAGGAGAGTCAGTCCAGCCTCCACGTATGTGTTCATGATTTTGAAACCATGGATACCAATGTGGTTTGTGGAACAACAGCTGCAGTGGCAGGCTGCACTGATTAATGCATGCAGGATAATAAAGACTGGGGAATGATACTTGTGGGAATGAATATTTTTGGGGAATGCATATTTTTGCATTCATTTAAATCTATTTAAACAACATTGTAGCCTCTGGAGTTTTAGGGAGATGGGAGGTTGGCAAAGTTTATAAATCCGAACCTTGCACAAGATAAGTAAAAACAAATGAGCAGACAGGAAGATGGAGAGTTTTGTGAGATTTTAATAAATCTTGTTTTTCTTGTTAGTCTTGTGATAGGCTTTAAATATGGGGGGGGGGAGGGAGGAATACAGGAATGAAAAGGAATTCAGTTCTGCATCTATCACACATTTTGGGGGGGACTGCCATCAAAAATACTTTAATCTCACAGGGAGGTCATGATTCAACAAAAGCACTTACACATGTGGTCCAGCTCAATGGGTCTTAAGCTCACGTGTTAAATTAAAGTGCTTTGGTGAGTTTGAGACATTGCTATAGCGCAGTTAAAACAACCACTTAAAATATTTCACATCCTCAATTATCCAAATGCCAATATTGTTTCATTAGCTTGGAAGTGTTGGTACTGAATAACAAGCTGCTCTTTTTTAAGCTTTACTATACTTAATATCTGTACTGTTAAGTTTGGTATGGCTTTCCATTGTGCATCATGTATACCATATTTTCTCGCATACAACACACATCTTTCCCCCAGAAACCAGCTGCTGGAAACTGGAGCCTGCAGTACATGGTAAGAGCAGGTTCTGCCACTTATGGGTGAAACCAAAAGTAAAATCTGCAGTGATCCACAAGGACCAAAACAAAGAGCAGGTTTGGCTCCCTAGCTGAGGAAAGATTTTGCTTTTTTCATCCTGTCTTTCAAAAACAAGATGTGTATTATATTTTAAGACATGCTGTATGTGAGAAACTGTGAGAAATTCTCACAAGATCCTGCAGTTTCACTTAGCCAAACAAGTCCAGCTATCTGAATGGCTTTGGTTTCCAAAGGGACTTTGGTCTTTTGGAACTTCAGAATTCAACAAATCATATTCTGATGAACATGTTTCAGGACAGGACTAAGCAGTCTTTTGCTATGCCCCAGTGGCCTAGAGGAGATTTTGCAAGGTTTACAAAGGCAAAAATCTAGTTGAACTAAATGGGAATCTGGTTAAGTGACAGATTGAAGGCTAGATAGGGAGCTGGGTTCTCAGCCTTATACCAATTTAGGTCTGTTGCTGGGGAGTTTGAGTTGAGAGCTAGCTCCTGCACACTTGAAGCTAGCTCTGCTCCCTCATTCTCGTTCTGTCCTTCCATCCAAGCACAGAGTAGCAAGGATGTTGCGTGGCCAGCCTGGGAGCAACCAATGCCCAGTGCAACTAGAAACTGGAATTTGGCATATAGACCCAGAGCACTAGTATCCAGCCACCACTCGATTTCTCCCCACTTCTTTCCACTGTGACACATACAAAGCTCTCTGTGCCCTGGCCATGGCTCAGGCAAACCCCCATCTCCAGACCACCACAGAAACCTGCCAGCTCCATGGGCTGGATCCAGTGACTCTGTAGGTTGCCATCCCTGGCCTAAGACATTTCCAAAGTTGGGTTTATGAAGTAGATTGCTTCAAAAACTGCACTAATTGCTTTTTTGGCATATCCAATCACCATTTGATGCTAGCACTTATGGTGAAAGACAGCTCATGTACAGCTTCCAGTAAAGCGCATCCACAACTCTAAAACAGGCACAACATTATGCTATTGTGATGGTATTAATATTAGCATATAATACAAATGTTGTAAGTTCTGAGGAAATAATTTCATTCTATCACTACTTACCATACACTGAAAAAATATTAGCAGGAAGCTGAGAAATATGGATATTTGTAAATAAGGAGACTGGCTGTGTCTACATGTGTATTGATGCACTTTTACTAATGCACATTAAAATTTAGTACCTCCATTTTGAGGTACTAAATAAATGCACATCAGGCTGCACTGATGCGCACTAACACAAGCACATGCTTTTTTAGTGACGCTTAATGCACAGTAGCCTAATTCTACTGTGCATTAGTGTATTAGAATGATTTTTTACATGCTGCTTTAATGAGCAGTAGAATAGGCTACTGTGCATTAAAGCACATGTGTAGATGTGCCCTCTGGGTAGGTTATTGAGTGCAGTCTGCTCCCTTTGTTTAAATTAACTCACCAAATGCTGTTGCAACATTAAGCGATCAGAATTCTTCAAGAGCAAGGCCCCATCGGAAATGTACTATTCAGCACAGGCAGGATCAGCAATTTCTCCAAAGCCTGTTCCCTCCATCAGGCAAAAGCATGTTTGCTTCTTCAAAATGGATTACATTTACTATTATAAAACCTCTTCTAGTAAATACTCTTCCTGTGATCAAAGCATTTATTTTGATCCCACTTCCAGTCAATAAGAGGGCAACAGCTCATGCTTCCGATATCAAGGAGCAGTGTATGCAATGCCAATATCCGAATGGAAACTTGTATTTTCTCTGAGGTTCATTTTCCTGTTCCCACAATTCTGAAGTGCTCATGAGGAAATCCTGGTGTCATAAGACAGTTTAGCTCTTAATCCTGGCATCACTCCTGTTAGGTAAATAGAATTACCTCATTTTTTAAATAGGGAAACTGCCTGAAAGGAAATGTCTTGATTGACATTATTCTTAACATCTAAACTGCAAAATAATTCCTAGCAATAGAAAGTTTAACTCAAGGGCAAGTATAATATAGTTTAGGAAACCAGGAGATTTAGGTATTAACATGTTTATTGATCACT